AGGAGAAGTGGGAGGGGAGGAGGCAGCATTTCCAGCCTCCGGGGAAAACCTCTGTGCTGCCCTTGACTAGGAAAGACTAGGGATCTAGTAACGAAGGAAAGGGTGAGGTACAGCGTGGGGACAGGACAATAGCTCAGTTGTTGTTGTGCAAGCCACACCCTCATCACCTTTTGTCATTTCTCCTTTTGAGCCAGAATCCACCCTCAGATGCACACACAAAGCTGTCATTAACAGAAGCCTCACACACACCTCGGAAAGTAAACCCCGGCACCTGGCTTCAAAGGAACCAGCTTCCTCCTTCAGAGAATGGTTCTCTGGTATGCTGGTTTCCTTAAAGTGTCCGCTTTTTATTTGTCCAAACTCATTATCAGCAGCAGCCAAGACTACAGCTGAACTATTCGTGAGTTGGTGGTTTATAAAATTAATACCATATAGACTGCTACTAGTCTCTCTCTCTAACATATTCCCATTCATATTTATTTATCTCAGAAGTTAAAAAGAAAAACACTACTGACGAAACACAATGGGGTGTCTTTTTACACCAATATGGCTTGGGGAGGCTGGTTATAGCAAACTGATCTGAAATAGGCAGCTAGACCAGGTGAGGAAGAGGACCTTCCACAATGAGCCCAGGGCACCTGCTTAATCAAGGAAATCCAGAAACAAGGCCGGAAGTTATCTGAAAAGGCTCTCTGCTGTTTTTGCATCTTAAAGGCAAAGCTCTGAGGGTGTGGTGGGTCCCTGCCCTGTGGGGACCTCTGCTCTGAGAAGTCAATAAATCCAAGGTCATTCATTACTTAGGAGGGCCTGACAGCAGCCTGACTGGCTTCCATCCAGGCTGATCCAGGGGTGGAACCTCTCTGAGCCTGCTTCTCGCTTCATAAAATGGAAATTGTCATTGTACCTACCTCCTACTGCACTGAGTATTGAATATACTGCTCGGCACACACGAAAGGACTCTATGGTAAAGGTGAATGTGCAGCCACCTCCTTAATGGTGCAGACGGGAAACTCAAATTCACAGAATTTGTGCAAACTGCAGTTAGTTCAGAGTCAATTCTGAAACCCAAACTCCTGGCTCATGGTCTAGTGGGTTTGGAATTTTTTAAATTATTATTATTATTTATGCATCCACCAAAATGCTCCTAAGGGGCGTTATGCAATTTTTTTTATTAGCGTAGGAGCGTAACAAACAATGGGTCTATCAGCCCAGCCTGCTCCCCAGAGCACCCTTAGCTCTATCTAGCAATCTGGGGACACCTATAGAAGGAGGATGTGTAGCCACAATCTAGACTCAGTCCTGTGGCCTCTGCCCTGAACTTCATGTGGCATTCTACATGGGAAAAAGCAAAGCCTTACACCCGCTGAGCTCACTGCATTCCACGACAGCCCAGGGGGGCCCAGGCATTCAAGGCTACAAAAGTCAAGAGATTTGCCCAAGACCACATGATGGATGGGTTGCTAAATTGGGACTCGAACCTTAGTCTCTGGGCTAATGTTCTTTCTTCTGCACCACATTCCCATGGCCCCTTATGGTGCAGCCTCTTGGGGGAAGGAAAAGTGGGAGGAAAGAAAAAGGCCTTTGGCTGACGATCACTTGGTTTTGCATAGACTATTTTGAAGGATTCAAGCAATTTAAATATTAGTGGCGTGCAGATCCCACTACCTACCACATAGGCTAAATATAGGCTTCCCTTCCTACTAAAGGATACAGATTTACTAGAGTAAAAAGAATTTTAAAAAAGAGAAATTTTCATTTTTTAAAAAAATAATAGCTTGTTGTACTAATCAGCTCCAAAAGTCTAAGCCAATGCAATGATTCACTCACCCACCTAAGAAGGAAGGAAATAAACATCTATGAAAATTTCAAATATTGCAGAAAACTTTATGTGTTTGGAGAGAATTGAGGAGAAAAAACTTCTACATATTTCCTGGCTCTCATGACACTCTACTAACTGCTAGCTCAGCAGACAGTCCCCTCCCTCCCTTCCTTCCTTCCTCCCTTCCTTCCTTCCTCCCTCCCTTTCTTCCTTCCTTCCTTCCTTCTATTGCTTCCTTCCTGTCTCCCTCCCTTTCCTGTCTCCCTCCCTTTCTGTCTCCCTCCCTTTCTGTCTCCCTCCCTTCCTATCTCCCTCCCTTCCTATGATCATTAATCAATCATTTCCACAAGTACTGAGCACCACCAGCTGTTCCAGGTGCTGGAATGAAATGGGTAGGAAGACCACCTGCTCTAGTGGTGTCTGCCTTCTCAAATTCTAGCCATGCATTGTTGAGTGCTCACTATGTAGTAATCACAAAGGAAAATACAATTGTTTCCTAATACCATTTTCCACTTCAGGAGTCTCCCCAATTTCACAGGCATTTCTTCATAAATACTCACAAGTTCACATTTTCCTTTGAGGTGACCAAGGAATAAAGTGATATAATGCCTATCAGACAGTATGTCAGTGGCAGAAATAATAATGACAATCACATCAGCCATAGCCACAAACATGGTAAAAAAAAAAAAATCTAAGTTCAATTCACAAATTGAACTCAAATCATTATTTAAGAAAACAAACACTAGAAGGTCTGACCTACTGCCACTCTACCTCAAAACTATATCTTATTTCTAGCAAAAAAGCTCCAGTGAAAGACTCATAAGGTTATGCTGACTTTCCATGAGTAAAACCAACATTCTAACTTTGAAAAAGTGTTTGAAAATAGCACAATCATGCATGGTTGTCGGCTTTCCTAAGAAACATTACCTCAACCATATGACCAGTTGTGAAAATGGGATTCCTCCTGTCCTCCATAGATTCTTAGATCATGAGAAATCTTGCTTCTCACAGTGCCTCTGACCAAGAGGTCAGAGGGCAATAATATTCCTTGTTGTGCATACTACAATTTTGTAGAAAGCAAGCTAACTAGGGAATAAAAGAAATTTAAAGATATTCAGTTAAAAATTGCTGTCAATGGGCTATTTCTTTTCAAGGTTAGATGATCTAAGAACATCCTCTTTGATACTCCAACTCCAAATGGCCACCTGCACTTTTACATTTTTTTCAAAATACTTGGAGGAGGCAAAAATACCCTGCAGCCCCTGCCAACACAGAGACAGAACAAGGAGGAAGTGTTTCCCATTGCTTTATAGAATCCTTCAGCTCTGTCACCTTCCACATAATTCATTCTTTGACTCTTACAGCCTCCATGGAGTACAGATATCATCTAAGCTTGTAGAAACTTAGAGGTCCAGCATTCCTTGGTCAATGCTAACACACCCTTTCAGATGTTTGCCATGCATGTTATTGTTAGGCAGTTACTTAGATAGGAGCAAGGCAGATGACGGATGTGGTTATGCTATTTTGGATTGGTTTGGGTCAGACTGACCTGGGCTCCTATGGGAATTAGGCTGATTAAGACTTTGCAGGTGAGTTGTTTTCAAGACCTTGCAGGTGTTGAATTAAGACCCTGGTAGACTTCCAAGAAGCAGCTGATACTCCTCAACATTGTGTGTAAAACCCAAAACTGTGCTCTCCACAAAACCTAAAGTCACTAGGACAAGGCCCAGCTTGCTGTGCACATTGTTAATAAACTTTATTGTTCTTGCTAAAACTTTATTTGTCAATTATTTCAGCAGCTACCAGAAGCCACTCAGGTACTACCTCAAGAATTCAGAAAACTGCTGCTGTGAAGAAATCTGTTCAACTGTTTAATTCATCATTTTCTAGACTTAATTCGATCATGGAAATCTCCTTCCTCTAAAACCCATTAGCATCTCATAGAATCTTTGAAATATTGTCTGGCATAATACTGAGTCAGACAATTTCTCTCTCTCTCTCTCACACACACACACACACACACACACACACGTGCACATGCACTTTGCATGACAATCTCAATGAAACAGTCCTAGATCACAGAAGGTGCACAGTAAGTGCTAATGGAGTGAATAAATAAGTTGATAAACTAACGAACAAAGGACTCAGTGGATTTACCACAAGGCCTTCACACCCCGGTGGACGCCTTGGCAGCAGTTGGCCAAGTACTCCCTCCTCCTACCCCTATGAGGAGGATTCATGGAAATGCAAAACTCACAGTGCTGGGGTCACCTCTGGGTCCAGCCAGCCTAAAATGGCACATTACTGGTGCACAGACAAAGAAGAGGCAACAGAGATATCAGACTCTGGGGTTTAACATGGGATGATGCCACTATAAACTGTACCAGGGTTTGGGGGACTGAGAACACCTAAACACGCTAGGCCGTTTCCTACCAAAGAGGGTACCTGATGTTTACACAGAATAGAAAATAAAAGGCATGCTTCAGGTCCACAGTATCTTTTCAAAACCCTTAGGGCAGGTGTGTTACAGAATTCAGAATTTTTCAGATTCACATATGCCATTTAGAGTGGCGCCTCCATAGTTGACCACTTCCCTACTCTGACCACCTCCTTGACCTAATTTTCATAGACCAGGCATGCACCACACGTATCAGCACATAGGCCTGCTTCCTTATGTTGACCACCTCCATATGTTGACCAGTTTGTTACAGTCCCTTGGGTGGTCAACTTACAGAAGTTCTACTGCATTGTGTAACTGCACTCCCCGGGGATCTGGGGCACTGCCGTATTCACACATTCATGTTTCTGCAATGACACATGAATATTCATGGTGAATGGGATAAATAAGACCTATAAATAGTTTCAAGTCAGCTCAGGTCAGAGTTTGCTGCCAAAATGGTGTCAGGCATACAGAACACTTTCAGTTTTGATAACATTCTGGATTTTAGGCTTGTAGGCAGCACAGTATGGGTCTTTAATGTGCCTCTCACAAGAAGGATACCTTGCTACAAAGAGGAAAGGGTGTCAATGAGTCTGGGCGACAAATCTAAGGACTTTTCATTAAGAGAAAGAAAACACATTTCCAGTACATCCTAGTGCTCTTGTTTGTAAACAGGAAATTTCCTAGAGTTTTATTTAGGATCATTGCACTTTGGACCTTGCTTTAATGTCATCTGCTTTGGTTTGGAATCAATTTTAAAGGGAATCAAATCTATGTTTGCCCTCGAAAGGACCCACGAGAACTTTAGGCTGTTTGGGCCACTTTAGGAGTGGCCCGAGGAAGAGGGGGTTTCCAAGGCAAAAGGATGAAGAGCAAAGGTTTAATGAGTCATTCGCTGATAAATTTCTAAATTCACCAAAATGCCTACCATTTGGGGTGAATTCAAGTTCAATCATATAGTTTTTAATGAGCCCAGTGACGAGGACACAATGACTTGTTTCTCTCCTGAGATGAGCTTCCATGAACTCAAATATTGTTGGTTTTGACTACTGGTTTTATGGCCTCGGGATCTAACCTAGAAAGAAAGGTTAAATGCAGACATGTTATCTTCTATTGCAATTTCCAAGGGACCTACAAATTTCTCATAAAATTTCTAACTAAATTCTCACAACACAATCAACTATTTGCCTCAGTAAAGCGTATGTATTCCACAACATGAAGTACTTGGCCACTTTGGGGTGAATTCAGGTAGGTGTCCCAGTGTCAAAAATAGTTGTAAATATCCAATCCTGGACCTGGGCAGTATAGCAAGGCCCTGTCTCTACAAAAAATTTAAAACTGAGCTGAGTTAGGTGTGGTGATAGCACCTGTAGTCCCAGCTACTTGGGAGGCTGAGGTGGGAGAATTGCTTGAGGCGAGAATTGGAGGCTGTAGTTACCAGCAAGAGGTGGGGAGCTAACACAGCCACACATGAACCCTTTCGCTTCCTCCTCCTCCTCTCCTTCTAAGGAGCTAGCTAGCCACACACACACACACACCACCACCACCACCACCACCAGGAGAAGTTTGTGCCAAAGATGCTAACTTTCCCAGCAAGCTGTGGAATTTGCCCACCTTCTACAGCTCCAGATAAAAGAGATTTCTAACTGCCCCCAGGCACAGATACCAACTTTGCACTGCCCAGACAGGTCACCCTCCCCTTTCAATAAACCTGGCCTGAACTTCTCTGCTCTGGTCTCATCTCTGGGCACCACTGCTTACACCTTTCAGTAGTGACCCACGATTACACAAGGCACTCCACTCTGGGTAACAGAGTGAGACCCTGTCTCAAAAAAAAAAAAAAAAAATCCAACCCAGTGCACTTTTAGAATATAATACTGAAGGATTCTGCCTATAAAATAGCTGTGGTTTATTCACTGGCATTCAAACAAAGTTGAAGATCGTACCTTTTCTACATCAGCCCCTAGGTCCATAGACAAACAGTTGTAGAGGTTTTACAAAATCAAAGTGCAACAAAAGCTTTAAAATAATGTTTAGTTTATGCCTTTCCTTCAGGCAATACTGCACCCAATTCATCAGACACATCGTGTCACTTCTGTCTACAGACATGACAACTCACTGGTGCCTGAATAATCCATTCCTGGTTTAAACCCCTTCGATGTTAGTTTGTGGTGATGCAGCCCAGAGTTCCCAGATAATAGGCCAATTACATCACATCCCTGGAAATCTAGTCTCACTCAGCCACTGAGGCTTGATAACCTCATGTAGGGAATTTCCTAAACCTCATACCCAGCTGGGGGTTTAGGACAATGAATATCTCTCCATTTTAATTCCTGAAAATGTTGAGGTTGCTGATAATGGTTGCCTGTGTTTCTCTCCAAGTCTTTAGTGGCATGAACCTGACGCAGCTGCAGTTGCTGCAGGAGGTGCTACCAGTGGTGAAGGCCACCTGCGTCCAGCCCCCAGATGGCATTTGGTCCTAGCAACTGGACGGTGGCAGCAAGGGCAATCCAAGGGGCATGAACAAAGTGAAGAGAAGCAGGCCCTGGGCAGCCAGAGCTTACTCTGCACCCAAGGGAGGGAGGACCAAAGCTGAGCACCTGGTCAGCCCTGAGGCTCACATCCAGCTCTCTGAGTAGCCACAGACACTCCTGCTTCCAGGAGAAATAGGGCTCCAAGGGGAATATGCAAAGGACATAGTGAGTGTTGGGTGGGGCTGGGAGAAGAAGTCCCAAAGACGAGGCGGCTTCTCATGGCATCATATTGTAGGCACTTACACAAAGCCTCAGAATAGTGCCTGGAGCACAGCAGGTGCTTAATAAATAAAAGTCCTGTCCTGGTTTCCTGGTCCGCTCTCTCAAGGTACCAGATTCCTGATTTCACTGTCAGTTGGGTCCCCCTAGTTTAAGTACTTCTACTCATTAACACTGTGTACAAATCCTTAAGTCTCAACTTTTTAGTGAAAGAATTAGTTTAAAAGTGATTGACAACCAGCCTGGACAACATATTGAGACTTTGTCTCTACAAAACATAAGAAATTAGCCAGCTGAGGTGTTATACTTCCATAGTCTTAACTGCATAGGAGGCTGAGGGGGGAGGATTG